TATATATATATTATATATATATATATTATATATATATATATATATATATATACACAATCTCAACAACATGAAATTTATTGCAACCTATCCATTACCTACTCTCGCCACTGATTACAGAACAACAGGGCGACAATAACAAAACATTACCCCCCCTAACCTAAAAGATACCCTTAGTGTGTACCACTTAATAAAAACCTGGTACAAACAACGTTCTACTTAAGAACAAAAAGGCTGTCACCTGCCGCCACAATGCTAGATCCATCTCCCACTATCTGTATGGACGGCCATACCACGTGACACCAATGATTATAATATGCACAAAAAATATATAACAAGGTCCTTCACCTATGGCCCCGCCAGACGGCTTGAGCCCCATCCTCAAAACCCCCACTGGTTGCACGCCTACAATGCAAGACACTGCAGAACAAAAACCAGTTCAAATAAAATACTTTACACACTAAGTCAGTGACTTGGCTTGCATGATGCCTACGCACTAAGTGGCCGCAACTGACCATGACATCAGGATCAAACATGATGTGATTGCAGATCCCAAAGCCTTTTTCTTGTAGGCAAAAAACCCCTAATCTCCCCTCCGGCAGCGGTTGCCACCGTCCAGCATTCCGGCATACCTTAACACGCAGGCGCTTGTAGCCACCATGCATAATATTCGTACACCTCCACTCGCACCATGAACAGAACCAGGGCAACCACTTGTACCAGAACATGCACCAAACGTGACAGTGACACACTCCACCCTGGAGCGCTGACTGACAATAAAAGAGTGCCAACAGATTCACCCTCCTTTCCTGGATGGAAAGCCCGACGTCTATCCCCTGATCTAATCCCCACCCCTACATGCTAAGCATTTCACTTACTGTGAGAGTACGGTAACCCTCAGAAAAACATTCCCCGCCACCTAGTCCCATATAGTTCCCTATTCCTATACATAGTACGGAATACCATCGCCGCCAGCACACGCTTCCTCACTTCCCATGCATCCGATGCCCTCCAGGATATGTATATGTAGTCCACCATCATATATGCCAGCGCCTGTGCCGCACCCTCTTCCACCCTCCCCACATATAAACTCAGCGCCCGCAATACTGACACATCCCTCCCCCCCCCACCCTCTGCACCACCCTGCCCACTCATTTCCTGATTCTCTCCAACCCTTCACAAAAATACACGATATGGTAAGCCATTTCCTCTCCTCCACACAACCCACAACGACCCTCCCCACCCAACCTCCGATCCCTCAGTACCACACCAGATGGCAAGATACGTGCAAAAAACGGAACGTTACCTCCCGCACACTGGGCTGTAACCTCAACTTGCTAAATCTTCTCCAGATGTTTGCCCAATCGTAAATCGGGTGTAACCCCTTCCCTGGGTGCACCACCTGTCCCCCTATCACCCTGTACAATGCCCCAACCTTAACCTTCCCAGGTTCCTGGGCCAATGCCAACACCCACAAGACTGCCTCACACTCACACAGGTCCACCCCCCCCCCCATACAATCCTCGCAACACCTCATGAACTTTCTCCAACCGTCTGTCCTGAAAAACCCCGCCTCGCAATACCCCACGCCTGATGTAAACACACTTAACTCTTCGTCGTAAATCCAAAAGACCCATCCCTCCCTTTCGCACTGGCAACATGACCACCTCCCTTTTTAACCACTCGCACTTAGAACCCCACAAAAATCTGAACACCCTCCTTTAGATGCTTTGTATTATCGGCAGCGTTAACGAGAACACTTGTGCGACTAACCAGAGCACATTGATCACAAGAGCACATTGATCACAATCACCTTTTGCAGGATAGTGAGATGATTCGGTCTTAGTGCTCCCAATCTCTTTACCACACGGTCCTCCAAATGAGCAGAATTATCCTTCCTTGCCCTAACTAAATTTGCCCTATATACAATACCACATATCTTCAAAATGTCCACACAGGTCGTCACCACCCGACATCCCCAATCCACCCTCAATTCTCACATCCCCAACCCTAAAATGGACAATTTCTCTACATTTACCACCATTCCCGAAGCACCTCTGTAAACCCGCACCACCTCCTCCACCAACCTATAGAAAGGGTCTTGTATGCACGCAAACAACAATTGCGAGAGTGGGCAGCCCTGTCGAAGGCCCCACCCTAGCACCACTGCTTTCCCCAAACGCCCGTTAACTTGCACACGCACACACGTTTGGTTATACAGTGTTTTCACCCATCCCACTATTCCTCCCCGAAACCCTGAGACAGTAAAATGCGACCTAAAGCCTCCCTTTCCACAATGTCATATGCCCCCCTCTAGTCCAATGATAACAACCCCCCTCCCCCCACCAAAAGCAGCTACAAAATCCCGGAGGATACTGTGACCTATCACCATCGATTGGTCAGGCAAACCAAACTGGCTCGGGGAGACCACCCTGCCAACCACACACACTTCAGATGGTTACCAAGCACCTTTGCAAAGAGCTTATAGTCAGTGCACATCAACGATAATCCTTTAGGGTACGCTGATGTGACCCGTTTCGAACTAAGACCACTACCCCAGTCGCTTGCCCCAGGCCTAACCTACCCCCCCCCACTTCATTTCATTCAGGAGCCTGACCAAGGAACCCCGCAACAACTCCCAATGCAGCATATAAAATTCACAAGGAATCCCATCCACTCCCAGTGCCTTACCCTTGCTCATTCCAGCCAACTCTCTCCAAATTTCCTCCTCCTCAATATCCCCCCCCCAACGCCATTCTATCATTCCGTCCCAGGGGTTTACCCACACAGCCATTCACTTCTTCCAATAGCTCTTCATCCACCCCACGACTACACCAATAACGAGCATACCACCTGTCAGCATACATACCCATGCCCTCCGTCGACCTGAGCACCTGCCCCATGCGATAGCTCTCCCCCTCCTCACACACCTCTAACTGCGTGAGAGTCGTTGCCTTCCTACGTTGTTGCTGACCCCTCAGGACACAGGACGAAGGCCTACCCCCCCATAGCACCTCCTCTATACCCGCTTGCACCCTTACGGCTTCAAACCTCTCATTCTGCAACTCCTTTAACCTCTCCTTCAGGGCCTCCATCTCCTCCATACGGTAACTTCCCTGCAAAGTGCCCCCACTGTAGCAAGCATGTAAGCGCTGCTCTAGATAATATGACAACCCATATCTCATGTGATTTATCCTCTTCCCTTCGCGTATGTAAAAATCTCTTATCCTAGCCTTTGCAATGCTATCCCACCACGTCATCAACTACCCTTCCCTCCTCCCCAAGCTCCTCCCACAGTGCAGCAAAACGCGCCACTGCCTCCTCATCCCCGAGAACCTTCGTATTTAATTTCCAGTAACTCGCCTCCCACCCCACCACCGCTACAACTGCCCTATGATCAGAATAAGGTACCTCTGCTGTACCGACAGACTCTATACCAGCACGCTGCATAGCATATAGTCTGTCTAACCTTACCCCATAGCCCTCCCTCACATATGTATGTTCCACCTCCCATGAACCCCCGGCAAACACATCCTGTAGTTGCACATCACGGAGAAGCTCCCCATTCATGAAGACTTCAAACCTCACTCAAGAAAAAGGATGATGGAGTGAGTATAAAACCGAGCACATCTCCTGAGGGGCACATCAATCAGATAACTGCTGCAGTATATGGGCGCCTGGTAATCCTAAGAATATTGTTCAGATATCTCAGTAAAGAATCGTTCAAGAATCTGTACACCGTGTACGTCAGGCCAATACTGGAGTATGCAGCACCAGTTTGGAACCCACACCTGGCTAAGCACGTCAAAGAAATAGAGACAGTGCAAAGGTTTGCAAAAAGACTAGTTCCCGAGCTAAGGGGAATGTCCTACGAAGAAAGGTTAAGGGATAGGGAAGACATGATAACAACATACGAAATACTGCGAGGAAATGAGAAGGTGGACAGAGACAGGATGTTCCAGAGATTGGACACAGAAACAAGAGGTCACAATTGGAGTTGAAGATTCAGATGAGTCAAAGGTATATTACGAAGTATTTCTTTAGTCATAGAGTTCTCAGGAAGTGGAATAGTCTGGTAAGTGACGTAGCGGGGGCATGAACCATACATAGTTTTAAGACGAGGTATGATAAAGTTCACGAACCATGAAGAGAGAGGACCTAGTAGCGATCAGTGATGAGGCGGGGCCAGGAGCTATGATTCGACCCCTGCAACCACAAATAGGTGAGTACAAATAGGTAAGTACACACACACACACACACACGCATGTATATATATATATATATATATATATATATATATATATATATATATATATATATATATATATATATATATATATATATACATATATATATATATATATATATATATATATATATATATATATATATATATATATATATATATATATATATATATATATATAATATATATATATATAATATATATATATATATATAACATATATATACACTCACATAAAAAGCTAGAGAGCGAGACAGACAACCAGCCAGACAGAAACAGGTGAGACGCTGCGACATAGATCTACCTAATAAAACATAAGAGGTAAAGTGTGGCACATTATCTTCTGACCTTCAGAGTCAACCTGAGTGTTGCCCCCGATATGTAATCTTCCCCAGTTACTTATTATCTTGCAATACAGACGAAGTCCATTATCCGTTGGTCAATTATTTTTCTTTGTACCTCCGGTGTTGTCCCTGACTCCACAATGAACATTTAAATCTACAAACTTTGATGTTATTCCCCATGATGTTTCCTTGGTTCTTCGGTCTTATTACCTACCTTACTATTATCTTCCCTCAACATGGCTGTGTTGCATATTCACTTTCCTCTTTAATACCTCTCTTTTGCCTTAAGATGCGGTACGCTGGTATTAACCTAAATGATGGTTCATATCAGTTCGATCAGATACAACTGAAGGTCATAGGTATAGATTACATATCTCTCTCTAAGCTTGAAGTGCCTTTGTGAAAACCCATCTGTTAATGTGCGTAGAGATACTAACGCTCGATGAGGCTACGATACGTCTCTCTCTGCTACATGTAAGTTGCCCATTTAAGTTATATACTTGTGGTTACTTTAGGTTAATTATAAGTAAATTTATTTTAATCTAATAAAATTTTACTAAACTTCTATGCCTCTCTAACCTTACTTAGAATAAAAAAAATATGATTTTTTGAAGTCGTTTAGCTCGGGTAGAAATCAACGAACTGTAATGCGTATATATACGATAGTCTTAATTGAAGATCAGGTTACTGTGATAGCAGATAATGTGCCGTTCTTATCTGGCAGGTTCCCTGACGTCGACCCAGACAGCATCACTCCCTCTCTCTCTCTCTCTCTCTCGTTCTTGCAGGTCAGTCAAGTCTCTTTATCTCTGCATATGAAAATACAAACATATTTCCTAGTATCTTTGCGAGAGTTAAAGTTTCATTTTTGTTTCCTTGTTTCCGTCCTCGTATGATAGTCTTTCTTTGTCGATTTTGACTTGAGCTCACATTCCTCAATTCTTGGCCTAGTTTAGTTACGAACCTTTGGACGTTCTCCAGCATCTGTTTATTTTCTTAGACGTACGCCATTCATTGATGCTACATACCCGATGTTTTCCCCTCACGTAGGTGGTTTGGTGTATATTGTGTATAATGACTTCTTATTTATATTTCTAAATGCAATTCAATCATTTGCCAGCCATGAATACCTTTTTGACGTAATTTAATTTAAATATTCCTCCGAAAGCTGTTTAGTAAAAATCGTCACACTGCCGCTGGTTTTCTTCCTGGATAATCCTTCCTCAGACTGCATTTATTGTGGATTTATTGTGCATTTATTGTGTGTCCACATCATGCGGGTTTCCTCTCAATGTATGATATTTACATACACAAGCAACCCGCACATAGGAGAAACAAACTCGTGACGACGTTTCTTTGTGTATTGTTCCAGTCACGGTATTGTACTTTTTTTTTCTTTACGTTTACGTATTTCTTATCAATTTCATATTGTTAATGTACGCTGATGTTGGATTCTGTTCGCTTTGATAGATCGTTTACATAGTATATCTTTGGAAACTCTGCTTGTTACTTCCCTAAACTAACCATGAAAAATATAAAAATTTTAAAGGTTGGACCGGTAAGCTAGAGGAAGGCCTCAGTCAGATGGCCAAAATATCTAGTTGTGGGTCATCTTTTGACTATGACTCGCCTCAAGAAACAATTGTCCTGTTTCCTGACAAATCTAACCTAACCTAACTTGATCTCCTTTCACTTTCACTATATTCTGTATTTCTGACATTCCTTGAGTTACTAAATACATCTTCTTGTCATTCCTAATTTTACTTCTGGCTTGTGGATCATTCTTTGTTATAACTTCATGTGAAAAGCCCTCTGACACTCTGTATTGCCCGAGTTACAAAAGCCTGTCACATAAGTACCTAAGACAATTTGCACTTCTAATTTATAATTATTTACGATAAGGAGTGACGATCTCTCTAGGTGAGTAAACAATCTCTATCTACTTATATATTTTCCATCGGTTTACAATCTGCATGTCAAGAATGCTGATCTGAAATTTATGGCCTTTTATACAGAGATGGGTAACACTTGAGAGCGTAATGAAAGCCCATGGTTATGCAGAGCATACCTAAGAAAATTACGGCTGACACTGCTCATGGTGTCTCGCAGTCGGCTCACTTGTATCAAGAGCCATGTAAAGTCATTGTTAGTGGTACACACACACACACTGAGCGCCATTCAGTATCAATGATATCGTGTCTGGCTTAATATCATTCTCTTGTTAAGTCTCTCAGGTGTTTCATTACTTAAGTTCCTCTCAGTTTACGTATTAGTACTTCCTGTTTTCTGAAAAGTCTCGAAATTTTCATTCGAGTGCTTACCCTCTCTCCCTCCCTATCGTTTTTTCTGCTCTTTTTTCAGCCTTACGTTGTTTTCTTTCAAATGGGGCTGTAGAATAGCTGTGGCTCGGCGCTTGTTTTGTTTCACTGTCATATTTGCTTCTTTGTTTCTCTATATAATATAATCATCCCTTGCTCTCTTTCTTATGGTCTCTTATTCATCCCTTTGGCTTCGTTGCAACTCTGATAGTTATGAAGATCTCCTGTCAGCTTGTATTAAAATCTTTTACAAAAATTCAAAGTATGTCAAAAGCCCTAAAATCTGGAACACCCTACCTGAAAACTCTAGAACTGCAGACACATTCATCACCTTCAAAACTACCGTTAGAAAACGTCTTATCTCCCTGATACATCCCGTCAACTAACTACATAAAAACCACCTGGTGGTTCACACTTTCACTCACCCATTTGACTATAAGCACAGAAATACGTATCTTAATCTTAAAATAATGATTCCTAACTAGTCACAAGTTTGCCTGTGATACTCCAATATAGAAACTATGTATTATGCCAAAACAAAAGCATTCACATTGCTAAACTCACAAACTAGTATTTAGTTACTTAGTATTTAGTCACTTAGTATTTAGTCAACTTACTCCACAATTTGTAATAATTTAGGGTTACGAATTAATCTAAGTTTGCCCGAAATGCCTAGCCATGCTAGGTGGTCTAGTGGCCCCCTCTGTAATTAGTATTTTATTACATGTAAACCACACAATAATCAAAATCTGTAAACCCAGCATTGTAATCCTTATAGAGAATAAACTTTGATTTGATTTGATTTGATTTGATTTGATATCATATCTCTCGCAAGCTTTCTTTCTTCCAGGGTCTTGAAGTTTACCTACTGTAAACATGCCTCTCAGCTCACATCTTTCAAATTGACGATCATTCTGGTGACATTTCTTTGAATGTTGTTCAGCTTCTATAAGAGCTTAACTATGTGAGGCATCCATTGTTACTGCATTCTAGAGAAAAATTTATCTAAATTATGTTTTGTTTAGGTTCGTAAAGACAATATCGCATATTTGCCAACCTTGCCTGTATTACTTATGCATTTTATGTGCCTCTGGAGAGGGGATCGGTGTGATGCTGCACCTCTCTTCTTTCTAATGACTTCAGGTCTCCTAATTGGTAAATATTCTCGGGCATCTTCTCCCCATGATCTCGTCATCATCATTTTTTCTTGTTAAGATTGAATTCCAACAGCCACCTGCCATGCTATTCTAGCATGTTGTCCAAGCCTTCTTTCAGCTGTCTACAACTTTTTCCTTTTATCATTCTCACCAACTTTGCACCTTCTGAAAACAGTGAAAGGCAAGAATATCTCCTGAAAAGTCGTTGGCAAACTTCAGAAGCGTCCGTAGACGTGAAAACTCAAGAAATTTCCCGTCTCGTAATCTCCTTGTATAAAGAGTTCTATACAGGTCTGCTTTCTCAGTCCCTTCTGTTGCAATTGCTCATGTTATCTTTGCTTCTTAAGAAGAATTATTAATGATGCTTGTGATGGTCTTGTTGATGCTGTTGCAATCCTGTTTAAGTCTCCTTTATGTCTATTTCCAGCATCATTACTTAGGGCATTTCTATTATTATCATTCTTAAAGTATATTCAGTGAACTTAGCGTTGTTATGGAGTTTCCTCTAGTTTCATATTTACATTTTTCTGTTTTACAAGATTGGTCCATCTTATATTATGTTTCGTGTATTTCTCGCCATTAACATGAAATCAGAAAGGACTATATTCTACTCTTTCCATACCTGGAGTTTACCTGGAGAGAGTTCCGGGGGTCAACGCCCCCGCGGCCCGGTCTGAGACCAGGCCTCCTGGTGGATCAGAGCCTGATCAACCAGGCTGTTGCTGCTGGCTGCACGCAAACCATAGACTTGTTTACAATCTTATAATTTCGTACTCACGATATTGAAGCTCTCTTCATTTAGTAAAATTATTTTTTTTTTTGTCTTTTCAATTTGTTGATTGAATTCCTGTTACTTGCAGAAGGGTATGTTCTTTGGGTGGGGGGTTACAACCGAAGTTGTTAGAGATAAGATAAGATAAGATAAGATTTCGTTCGGATTTTTAACCCCGGAGGGTTAGCCACCCAGGATAACCCAAGAAAGTCAGTGCGTCATCGAGGACTGTCTAACTTATTTCCATTGGGGTCCTTAATCTTGTCCCCCAGGATGCGATCCACACCAGTCGACTAACACCCAGGTACCTATTTGCTGCTAGGTGAACAGGACAACAGGTGTAAGGAAACGTGTCGAAATGTTTCCACCCGCCGGGAATCGAACCCGGGCCCTCCGTGTGTGAAGCGGAAGCTCTAGCCACCAGGCCACCGCGCCACACAGAATGGCGGGGTAGATGCTGGTTCTCTTTCATCTGTTTTCGTTTCATCTACAATATTTCGCATTATTTTCTAATGTTTTTTTTCGACTCATCTTTGGAATATCAATTTGGCTCCTGGAGACCAGCCATTAATACCTGTCTTCCGAATTACACTTTGCAGAGTGCTCGCAGAGTGCTCGCACAGTGCTCGCAGAGTGCTTACAGAGTGCTCGCTCTGCAGTCTGATGAGTGGACTGCTTTACTTCTGGGTCAGTTCTAGGAATATATCATGATTTTAAACTTTTATCGACCCATGTTGAAAATTATCTCGATCTAGCTTTTCTCACAAGCAATGGACATTACCTTTGGCTCCCAAACAGTCTTTCTTTCTTCTCCTCAGGTCTTTCCTCTCTTTTATTAGTATATAGTAATTTATTTATGAGGAATGAAAAGGTACAATACCATAACTGGAACAATACACAAATAACCAGCACATAGGAGAGAGAAAATGCTTATGAATGACGTTTCGTTCCTACTTGGACTATTAATTAACTAGTTACTAGTCCAAGTCGGACTGAAACATCGTCATAAGTTTCTTTCTCCTATGTCCGGCTTATCTATGTAAAATTTATTTTTATCTCTCGTAATCAATTTTTTTTAAATTGTTCCCTCACCATCCTCTCTTTCTTTTTTTTTCCTCCATGTTACCCACAACAATCTACTAACACAGTACATGTTTGCTGTACGACAACTGCAGCACCATCTGTCAGGAGTACTTACACGTCGCACTTATAATAATAATAATAATA